TCTCTCTCTCTCTCTCTCTCTCTCTCTCTCTCTCTCTCTCTCTCTCTCTCTCTCTCTCTCTCTCTCTCTCTCTCTCTCTCTCTCTCGCTCTCTCCATTCTTTGGCAACATACACAGCCCCCCCCCCCTCCTCTCCACTTGACTTGGGCCAAACAATCTTCTGTGGGATTCAACCGCGCTCTTCCTCAAACAACCTAATCTGGAAGCTAGCCCACCTATCTCCAATCTCGACTTTGTTACAACGAAAATTAAGGGATTAAATTAGTCGATGGTTTTAGCTGTCTGATTATCCAGTACTAGGTCAACATAATCCACTGATTTTTCCGGGTTATCTTCATTCATATCTTTACATGAGGGAATTGAATTTGAGAGGAAATTCTCCCAGTGGGTGATGTAAAATTCTGCACGAAGAAAATTTGACTTTCATGAATGATTTTTTTATATGCATTTCGCAGCAGCGGAAATATAATTACGAGATACATGAACTTTTTTGGTAAATGCGAGAGAAATTACTGCATTGCACAGAAAAATTTGTAGTGCTGTCACTGAAAGTTTTTGGTGATCACTTGAATTCCAAATAATTTTTCTGCTATTTTTCTCTACTTGATTTATTTAATCGGAGTAGCTTCATTATTTCGGAGCAAATGGTGTTTTTTTTTATTGCTGTTAGTAATCGTGAATAATGAATCTAATTATCTGGCACTAGATTAACCGAATTCACTCATTGTCCAATGTTTTCTTTTTGTTAATATCTTTCGACGAGAGAATAGAATTCAAAGAAAAATCCCCTAGTCGCTCTAGAACGTCTTCATTATTTCCCAGCAGAAGTTGTTTTCTTATTTCCGTTAGTAATTGGAATTCACTATGAACGTAATGATGGCTCACCTGACTGGGTTTACACCTGAATGCCGGCTGATACTTTCTCCTCATCTTCCTCGGACAGCAGGCACACAGTATCCTGACAAAAGCCCTAGAATCACAAAGTGGAAATTAATTAGAGGAGGAGTTTATTAGTATGCTTAGAAGTTTAAATCTCTTGTAATACCCGTAAACTAGTTATTCACATCGGAGTTGATTTAATTGAAGACGAACGGAACGAGAGACAGCGGGAGAGAGAAACCGATTATAAAAACCGAAGTAACATTGTTACAGGCACTCGATCATTAACCAGTGAGGAGATGACGTAGCTCGGCTCATCTAGTTTATCTCTGTGATTGAATATCACAGATAAACTTGAGTAGCACAGAGAAGACCTTGAACGATCATCATGATCATCTGACGATCGAGTCCATAAAGGGCACCCCATAAACGCCTCATTCTGTCTCTGGGTTCTGATATTAAACACCCAACAGTTGAGTTGGATAGGCCCAGGATATTACAGTCATGTTCGCATGACTAAAATGCACGTTCAAATACAAGGAGTGTACAAACCCTAGTTGACTTTCGTCTCCTATCCTCCTCTTCAACTACAGTATTTATATTTGCATAGCAGCCATGATAAAGTTAATACGACACGCGATATTCGTCGCATTTCAAGCGCATAATAATGGAGGAGCGCCGGCTATAAACTGCACGGAAAAATTCACCGTAGAGATAATATTTGAAAAAAAAAAACGGAAATTAATTTTCAAATTAACTGACAACAGTTGCATCAGTATATTGGCAAAAAACATTGAGCAAAGAGAATTGGGTTAAAAGCCCTCATTCTACTGAAAGCATTTCTGATTATTTACGTAATCCATCACTGAAATGATTTTCAGAGAGACCATGGGCAAACATGTCCTGTAGTACAGATTCAACAACTCGATAACGGCAAATTTCCCACGTTTACGGTGTAAAAGGCTTTTATCCGCTAATACACATCACTGGAAATGATTTAAACGGGGATAACAAGGAGACTGGGTGGAAAATTATTGGGTTGATTGTGACCCTGTTTGAAGTTTATCTTGACATCATTCCTTTTTTTTCGCCAATGTAGATCATTTCGTGCATCTCATTTATGATTGTAGACATTTTCTTTTTTTTCCGTCCTTCAATTGACACGTTATCATGTCAGTCACGGAAACTTGTCTTCGATGACTTGATCATCGTGACGATCTTACTGTTGAGGTAGTTCAGAGCGTGACATCGGTGATACCTGAACAGTTGCCTCCGTTAATGTGTTAGGTGGAAGTCAATTAAGAGCACCTATGGAATGTTGGCTGGCTTTGATTATGGCAATGATGTTGCCATGTGTGAGGACAATAGTGATACCAGAAGAAGAGAATCTACGAATAGAGGATCCCAGTAATCGTGAACTAATAAATCCCGAAACAGACGTAGCGAAAAGTGAATTAAACGAACTATCGAAGACAGTCGTTTGTCTGATGAAATTCGTTGAATTGTACATGAATCAACTGCCGTCAAGAATCTCCGTACTTTTAATGGAAACAGACGATCCAGACTTCTCCGGTGTTTACCTATCGAAACTCCAACAAGTTCGTTCGACATATATCTTGAACGGTTACTTGGACTCCGACTCTGATCAGAATACCTCACTGGATGCTCTCCTGATACTGAAGAGTTACGAGAACTTGGAGAATTCGACGTCCAGATTGATTGATCTTTGTGGTAGAGATTGTAGATACGCTGTTGTCGTGACAAACCTATTTCCTGATGAGGCAAGTTTCATGGAGGAAGCTGTGAATTACGTGAAACTATTGTGGATTAAGCGAGTTGCTAATGTTGTGATATTGGGACCAGTTGGAAATACACTTTTGGCTGCTCAGAGCCAGGGTTTCTTGGCGAATAAGCTAACGGAGCCGTCAGATCCGATTCCCATTGGCAAGTGTCATCAGGGCGAATGGATCACCACAACGGAAGTGTTTCCTGTTCTGAAGATGAACAATAGCCACATTCATTTCGCTATAATTGATCATGAGCCTTACATGAGTGTTACGTGGGAAGGTGACCATATGAAAGCCAGAGGTATAGAGTTGAAGATAATAAATATTTTGAGAGATACCCTCCAATTTCGGTCCACTGGATCACTTCTGGAGTGGGACGAAGGAAATACTGTGGAGGATGAAATAATTGAGGAATTCAAGAGCGATCGGAAGATCGATCTTGTGGTCGGAGGACTACTGCGGACAATGGTCAAGGATGTTGACTTTGCTCTGCCTTACGATGTTACCCAAGTCGTCTGGCTAGTTCCCTCTCATTCAAATATTTCTCTTCTTGGTCTGATATCGCCGTTCACTTTGAAAATATGGATTCTAACTATTGCATCGATTATATTCGGCGGGATGATCAAGTCCCTGCTGTTTGACAAGATGTCATTCTTGGAGATCATGGCATTGGTGATAGGAGTTGCTTGGCACAAGCAGCCGAAGAGGCTTTCATATAGGATTAAATTCATGTCTTGGGTTCTTTTTGGATATGTATTGACGCAGGTGTACTTGGCTTCACTCGCTGGACAATTGTTAGCTCACGGAGATCTTCAGATCAACACCATGCAGGAGCTCGTTGACTCTGGCTTAATTTTCGGAGGAACAGCCAATCACAAACAGTTCTTCATGCAAACAGATGATGATAATGATGGAGAAATTTCTGCCGTGGACACTATTTACAAACAATTTATTGTCTTCAGTCATGAAGACTACATGAAGAAATTGACACAGCTGATGCAGGGAGAGAATACATCTTTAGCTCTTGTCGCAGTTCTCAATATATCATCAGCGAGTACGAGCGTGCATCATGAGATGTATCACATAGTGAAGGAAACACTGGCTACCACACCTCTTGCCTTCCCCGCGTGGAGAGGATTACCTTATTTGACGCAAATCGATTCGAAACTGGCGGCCCTCATCCAGGGTGGCATCATCTCTTATATAGCTAATAATGAGACGACTGTTCAACACATTCATGACGCAATTGAAGAGAAAACCGATGCGAATCTGGAGCTCGTTGATATTGCTCCAAGCTTTTTGCTCTTGGTGATGGGGCACGGGGCAGGTATGCTTTGTTTGCTTGGGGAGTTTGCTGTTTTCCGGTGGCAGAACCGAAAACCAAAAAAAGTTGTGAAAGGGACGAAGGTGCGGAGGCTCAAGGGGGTAGCGAAGAGGACTGTTAGATTTGATGAGAAGAATCTTAGGTTGACTAAACCCAACAATGGGGTGAGGTTAGTTCTGCGACCTAATGTTACTATTGGATATCGTGACGGCAGGCTTCCATGGAAAATAGTATAAAGTGTTCAACGTAAATTAGATAACATCACTTTCTTGTAATTCTCAAATAATAAAAAAACATTTACTCTCTGATAAACGAATGATTTACTTTTTTTCACTGAAATGAACGAAATTTTTTTGACACGAGATGGAAATGTTGAGAGGAATTAAGATTCGACGCAGGTATTTAACGTCTCTGGCAGCATCAGCAGGTGTATATTGTTTGCTTAAGGGGGAACTGCATTCTAGCTGCAGAATCAAAAACAGCGGAAAGTTGTGAAGAAGGGGATGAAGGTGTAGAGGCTCGAGGAGATAACAAAGAGGACTGTTTAATTTGCTGAGAAGTACCTTGGGTGTGCTAAACCTAACAATGGGATGAGGATAGTTCTGCGATTTAACGTTAACGATATCATAACGGCAAGCTTCCCTGAAGAATAGTATAAAGTACTCAACATTCCTTTCAACTCTCCCATAAATTGAAAAATTTCTCTTCAATAAAATGCCGAAAAGTGTTTCACCAGGAGATGGAAATGCAACGAGCAACGAAAATCTGACGGCGAATGAAAACTCGATAAGGCAGCATAAAATGGTGGTATTTGACACCTCCAGCAGCATCAGCAGTTTTTCGCCTCGTAAAACGAAATTGTGTTCTCCAAGGGGTAGCCAACTGAAATGCTCAGTGTCTTGGGAGCTGCACGAGACAGGGATTAGCTAGGTGGGCTTTAACCCTAGGATATTGAGGGCTTCTACAATGGTTAATATCGAAACGAGAGTTGGAGTTTGAGACATAAAGCCAGGAAGAATAGAAACCACAAATTATTCGACACATTCGGCTGGGTTACCAGGATTCAACATGTACCGGGTATTATCCCTAGGATTTGTTGGGGCTTTTGTATGACACTTATGTCCCTGAAAGTGGACACGATAAGAATCTGATGCTCGTGTCAGCGATTTTTAGACTCTCTCTTCCTGTCGCCCACACCCACCCCGTTCCTCGAAACTAACGCTATCTTTATACTTTTGAGTTTTCAAGACTTTTTTTATTTTAATGCCCCGGTGATTCTAGGTCAGGTACATACAAGCGTTTATTCTTTCGACATACTGGAGCGTGAAAACAGTGTCAAGACCTTTACACGGATATTGAGATGGGGACAAATATCAAATGGTACGTGAGTAACTTTAAACGTTATTTCCCCCCTCCCCCTCCCCCCCCTAAAAAAATGCATATGCAATGATTTCCATAGTCATTAACTCTGTGTTCATCGCTGTCTCGTTGACATTCGGGGGGGGGGGGTTGCGTGTGATCAAGGGCACCAGTGGCTTTTATGCTGCTCAGTGACCAACGAAAAAAGCAACAACACAGTGGAAGATGTGGAGGAATAGGTTGGAGGTCACTGAAGAGGCGCCACGGAAGGGGAAGGAGACGATGGGGTGGGTGGCACTGAGACATTTACGAGGTTCAGCTGAGGAAAGTACTGGAGTTTATCTCGCATCCCCACCAGGTGGCCACTCCCTACGTATAGATAATACTCTTTTTTTTTATAATTTTGCCTCTCTCTGCCCAGTTTCTTCCTCCATCAGTTTCCTTCACTCCTGCTTCTTGCTGGATTATCTGTATCAGTCACTAATCCAACCATCTGTACATATCTGTTTCGATTTCAAACGTGAGATTGCCATCTCTTCTTGTAGATGGTCATCATCTCCACGTGTGGCGCCCTATTCTCCAAGACCATCGCCGTTCATCGGGAGGGGGGAAAAATCCATGGAGGAAAGAACATTTTCTCTTTTTTGTTTTGCTTTTTCACTGGTTTTTCTTTCGGCGGATTCATCCCGTCGGGGAAAAGATGCTGGTTTTCCATGAAAAAGTTCAGACTGTTGGCATCGATTTTACCCAAGGATGTGGGGAAAAACCGGAGGAAAATATGTGGGCGATACCTAACAAGCCGGAACACCAAATTCATTTCCATTTTATTAAAGAAACGGAAATGGCGATTGAAAAGGGTTACATGGTTTGAAAAAAAGTCTGCTGTATTGGCGCAAGGCCAGGTCGTGGCTCCCTCCAAAAAAGTGACCCGAGTATCCCCAAAAAGCAGCACTGCTATTGAAAGAACCATCGTTTTTCCCTCCTCGTCCTCTCTCTCTCTTTATTGTTTATTTCGTTTCCCTAACTTTTTAATTCATCGGTAAACTGTGATGCGTGGAGGATATGCATCGCTCGATTGCAACCGCGTAAATTGTTGAAAACAGGAAATTTCAGGAGATTTTTTTTTTTTTCATACTAGTAGTGGAAGCGTGTGGAAACAGCTTTCTGTCACGCCAGAGTATTTTATACCTCCACTTGTGCAATTCCATCAGCAAAGCAGGAGAAAATATACAGCAACGAAGGAAGAGGGCTTTTAATAAAATGTATGAAACACTCGAGGAATAAAATATTGCTGGATATTTTTCATGGAAATGTAGTAAAAGGAACAACGAATGGAGATGAATTTTTTTATTTATTTTCTCAACAACGTCCAATTTTTTGGACATACAAGAGTGCTCGATGGGTAGGAGCATTTAATGCCTGAGCCCCTCTCCTCTCTCTCGCTCTCTCTACCCCTTCTCCCGCGCCCTTCTCACCACTCTGGATATAATTAATCGCCAGTCCGAAAATTGTGAGAGCGGGCATTGAATGAAAAGGGAAATAGTGAAATAAAAAGGTGGAAAAAAAACATGGAAAGGACGAGGGGATAAAAAAAGGGTTGGCGGCAAAGGGAAGAGTAATTCATACCGACGATTCGCACATATACCGCATCGTGGAATTGTCTGAACGACTCTCTCGTTTTGGGGGGGAAAATTGGAGTACTGAGTTGGAGTTTTACACGGACGAGAGTAAATCGTTGAGGTTGGATGCGGCATTGAGTTGAAAAAAAAAAGATGAAAAAAAGGGAACGACGAGCGCCAACGGAATGAGACGGTGGGAGGAGGGGGAAGAGAAAGGATTTTCCTCGGGGATGATTGCCCCGTGGGTAATAAATCGTCAAACAGGGGCAAGAGGGATAGTCTCAACCATTGCCAGGAAAGTGAGACTGAGATTTAGGGATATAAAAGAGTACGCGAGACTATTTTCTGTTTCTCTTAACTTGAGTGACATTGAACTGATGTGAGTAAATTGAACATTACGAAATGAGGGATGAACGTTTGGGTTATGACTTGTCGCTTGGGTAATGGATGGAATTAATTTTATTGCTCGGTTGGGGTTTTGGAAATGTTGAGGGGGGTTGAGTAATTGAGGGACTGGTTTATGGTTGGATGATAAAGAATTGTATTCATTTTTTCGGTGGATTTCGTACGTGTATTCGTTCTTTTGAGGGATTTTTCATGTTATGAAACAGATGAGGGATTTGTCAAAACGGGGAACACTTTAGTCATCAATCTTTGTGATTTTTGCTTCCGAATGGAAAGTATGTAGTCGGTGGTTCTAACGATCTCCTGATGATGTCGGGAAATGATGGAGAATGAAGCGTGTGGGGATGTCTGGATGTCTTGCGGATTTTTATGTAATTTTTTATGAATCTTCACCGAAAGAAGAGTAGAGTTGAAGCTTGAAATCTAAATTTTCTTATATTTCAACGTCTACTTTAAATATGCTGATTTAAATTAATTAATCACGTCTCATTTCTAGGCAGTATTTAAATACAAGGAGTTTATTGAAGAAAATTGTTAATTTATGAGAAGAAAGGAATACACTGTTAAAAATTGTTGTCTGAAATTTCCGCTACACTTTTTTGAAATTTTTATCGAATTTAATTATCACTTAAATTTCAAGGAATTTCGTCATTGAAAATTGACAATTTCAGTGGAAAAATCAAAGAGAACTGTAAGCTTCAGATCCATTCTTCCTTCAAATAAATAGAAAACCAGAAAATTCCGGTAAATATATTCTTGAATTTTCGAGACAGTGACACTGAATGCGATTTAGGGGGAAAAATCATTAAATTTCAGATTTCACTGAAAATTCTATGTAATTTGGCATTGAATATTCATATTAGATTATAATTCCAAATAAATTAAGGAATTATTGTCTTTGCTGCTCAAAATTCTGGAATTTTACTGAATTTTCAGTGAAACCTGAAATTTCATGATTTTTTCCCCCTAAATCGCATTTATTGTCAGTGTCTTGAAAATTAATAGTCAACTGTCCATGAAATTTCATTTATTTTTCTAACAGCGCGTATTGCACTGAAAAAATCAATTATTCACTTGTTTCTCATGAGAAAATGAGTATTAGAGATTCAAATTGAACTTCACTCTAGCTCAACTCAGTTCTTAATATTCCCCTTGTCTCTCCATGTCCAGAATTAACTTGGCAGGTTGATTTCCGTGGTCGTGGGGAGTTTATCCGACGGAAAAGTGTCGCCATAAAAACTTCAATTTACCGAGTTACAGGAAAGAAATAGGAGATAGGAAATCTATTCCATTAGAGGTTCTTTGGCCTATCGTGCTCTTTTCCACGAGAGAAAAGGTGAGCCATCATCCACTATTGTCAGAGTTTGAAGGAGTATAGAATGGAACCTTGGTATTGAAGATAAAGCCCGTCCCACTTCATTCATGTATACCTACCGTGCAAAATGCCTCGCGTAATTCAGCTTTCATATACGGAGGAGAGAGCACAAATATGATGTTCTATCAATCTTGTTTTCTTTTATCTTGGCACACGTCGGTTTAAATGAATTATGGGGCGATGCCGCTTGTTATGCATCAGGGGAAAATAATTGTTGGAACGACTTGACGATTTTCCTGATTTTATGGTGTAAATTTTCATCCGGAGTATTCCAAACTTTGGTTAATTTGATTGATGGAAAGAGTAGATGATGGATTTCAATTCAATTGGATAATTAATGTGAAAGTTTATTAAGTTAGTTATTTACAATATAATTGTACTCAAGAATGACTTTGTCACAAATGAACTCATTCAACCCGCGTAGAAAATTCGTCAATCTTTAACAATTTACTGTTTTCATGTTTTTTTTATGCACTTT